TAGCAGCTTGGAGTAAGACAGAGTAGTAGATATTTATTTAAAATGTTTAAAATTTAGCATCATGAAAATATGTTGATCTTTTCAAATGTTTTTGTTAAAAAGGAAAAGAAATTGAAAATTGGACTTTCAGGAAAGAGGATCTTCTGGAATGTATAATTGTATTAATTTCAAGCAGTGCTTTCTAATCACCACACTGGTCAGAAATGTCTTATTTTTTGGCTATCTTTTATGCACTAGGCAGTACTCGGCACTGAGTTTATTAAGTGAAGGAAGAAGACAGGGAGGGGGAATGGGACAGTGACAGAAATTAACAAAGTGCTGATTATTTCTGAATGATATGCTGTTTTCCACTCGTCTTCACTTCTGTTAACCTGTCCTCTCTTCCTGTTAGCATATGGAATTAATCTTATCATAACATGTATAGTGTATACTCTTATTTGGATGTAGTGATTTGCTCAAGGGCATGTGACCTAGAACAGGCCAATTGATGCCGTTTCCATGTACTTTTCCAGTTGGAGCTAGACAATAAGGTCCCTTGTCACCTTAGTCAGGACCTGTTAGGATTCAGACCCAGAGCTTTCAGTGTGTGATTCCTGCCGCACAGAGAAAGCTCTCTGCAGAAGGAGAGAATGGAACCTATGTTCAAAATGAAGCAGAGGTGAGAAATGCTGGGAAGGAATGTCTTGACAAGCTTCAAGTTTCTGGATTGAAATGATCTTGAGACCAGCTCCACCTCTTGCTTTTGCGTGCTTTGGTTGCATCGGCCAAAAAGTTCCCCTTTTCAGTGAAGACAGCTTGAGTTGACTTTCTTTCACTGCAAACCAAAAGATCCTGACTAATCTATTATACTTATTACCTTAGAGTGAAAGGAAGAATATTACCTCTTAATAGGACAAGATCTAGCAGAATGCATGATGCATGATGATGATGATGATAAGAAAAAGAATAACAACAAGAGAAAGAGGAGGAAAAGGAGAAAGAAAACATTAACAAACATCTGGTTAACATCTATTGATTTTTCTAACTTTTATTAAGCTTTGTTCTAAACATGTTACTTGTATTAGCTCATTTAATCTTACATTACCCCTTTGAGATGTGTTCTATTTTATCTCAAATGTATAGATGATAACATTGACACAGATGTTCAGTAGTTTTCTCGAAGCCGCATGACCAACAGAAGCAGAGAGACAGAGGCAGAGTCAATATTCACTCTAGTAGGCTCTCAAGTAGTATTAGTTGATGGGAAGAAAAAAATGCAAGAGCGATGAAGATAAATAATTACACTGCAGTGTGACAGAGGCAACATTTAATCTTTAACACATCACCATAAAGAAGGTATTATTATTATCCTCATTTCATACGTGTGGAAATTGAGGTTAAGAGAGTAGTGGGTCTTTGGCCATCTCAGCTAGAAAGTGGTGGAGCTGGAGATATACTCAAGCTTACTTGAAGAACCCTTAGATGTTTTTATATAAGGCGAGATCCTAAGTGGGAGACCATCTTTATATGAGACTTTAAAACATTATGGTGCTTTATCCCTTTTTGGATCTTCCTTTCTATAATTTCTTATAACTATTCCTTTTAAGTTTTGTGTTGTTCACATACTTAAATAGTACCTCCTTTACAGACAGATTGTTTCTTTTTGCAGGCTCTTCATCAAAAATCAGAGCATTCAAACACAATAGATAGTCTTCATTTTAAACCAGATCCTATAAAAATTTCCATAAAAACCTTTTGCAAAGTATTGTTATTGGTCACCTTTGCCAATGCAATGAGAGCATAATGCATTTTGACCAGCGTGTGATTAGAAAGTGCTGCTTGAAACAAATATCATTATACTTCCCAGAAGATCCTCTTCCCCAAGAGTCTACGTGTGTTTTCTGCAGTTTCAAGTACATAGACCTAGGTAGCAGAAAAGGCAACCTAGCACTGAAGTCCATCACCCAGCTATTTTCTCATCTGCTCTTGCTAGCTGCTACTCCTTTCACGGACTCATCTGTTTTCCTACTACAGTTATGCGGTTAAAAGGACAAGAACGTATCTGTGTGGATGGCCTTCCATTCTTCAGCTCTGCCATAGCGTCGGTATTGTTTTATGCTAACTTCGTATCAGTTCATTAAGTTATTTGGTGAATCCTAACACTGCAGTACTCTTTGAATACAAAAAGCTGTTGTCTTTAGCCAGTATTTCTTTTCTGATATAAAATGTAAACAATCTTCATTTTTGGCTTTTTGAACAGTGCTATTACGAATTGCAGCTTGCATTTCTGATTCTTTTCTCCAAATAAATCTTTGAAAATAAATCAGTGTGCTATTTCCCAAGCTTACATCATACAACCCTGACATTTGAATCGTTGCAAAAATGTGTCTTAGAAATATTTCCAGTGTCTTTTTAGTCAAGAGTTTCATAACTTAATCCCTATATGGGCAATTGCTAACTTCTTTGCATCTTTTCCTGATTATAACTCTACAAAAAAAAAAGTTTTTAAAGTTCTCTGGTCTGTTTGTTTTTTTTTTAATATCAAATAAGAGAAAGAAGCAAACATAGTCTCACACGTGAAGATGTAAATACGCTATAGAAGCCTTTGATCACTGCCTGCCTGCGGACACTTCTTTTCCTCTTTGGGGTCTTTTGGGAGGTTGTTGGGTATCAGCACCAGAAAGAGCTTTTTCTTCCTCTTTTTCATTACTGCATTTCCCTCTTTTCCCCACTAAGCGTGAAGTCCTCTCTTCTCAGGGATTTCTAGTTTTTCCTCTTTTCACATCTACAATCAGTATAATTTGGGAATCCTGGTTCTTGTTCTCTTTGACATCATTCCACGTTTTGATCCTCTTACCTTCCTTCATCCAGATTGTTAGTGCCAACATTTTTTTTCTGATTTGTCTGCTCACGTCCTGTCTTCTTCCGTCTTTACTTTAGGCGTTTTCTTGTTCATTATCTTCCTTGGTGGTTTTCTGTAGAATCATCAAAGCTTACATGTGAAATACAAAGTGATTATTATTTTCATATTAGGCTTTATATATAAAGAAACTGAAGGACAATGACCTGAGTATGTCACCAAAAATGAATGACAGACCCAGGTCCAGAGGTTAGAGTTCAGACTCAACTCTCAGTCCAAGCCAGTCCCATTTAGACTGCCACTGCCCATTTTATGAAAGTGTGAACATGACATTTTGAGCCCTAGCTTTGATTTATTCAACCTTTATATAAATTCACAACAGTAACCTCCAACCTCTTATTTAATAAGATGTTGAATTTTGGGGGCTTCCCATTTTAAATAGACTTCCCCCACATGATACTTCTCTGAAGAAGGCAAAAAAAAAAAAAAAAGCCTATGTGTACTGGATCAGACCTGCTTGACTCAGCAAATTTCTGCAAATTAGACAGATGATGTGCACAACCTCAAAGTATCTTTTTTAAGAAGCAGCACACCACAACCAATTATTAGTCCTCAGACATGCAGTCGTCCCAGGAATCAAATTGCTCCCAATTTGATGGATTTTATCCTTTTACTTCTCAGAATGTTCTCTCTCTCTTTTTTTTTTCCCCAGAAAAAAATAAATTCTGGGAAGATTTTTTTCTGATGCTGAAGAAATCTTGAAAGGTTATCATTGGACTTTGATGGAATTAGAAGCCTACTGATTTGCTCAGAAAAACCTCAGACAAGTTTAAAAATAGTACATACTTGGTTAATAAAACTCCACTGAGTGGGGAGCGTATGACTCAGTGGTAGAGTGTGTACCTAGCATGCACTAGGTCCTGGGTTCAATTCCCAGTACTTCCACTAAAAATAAATAAATAAAAACCTAATTACCAGCCCCCCTCTCCCTGCCAAAGGAAAAAAAAAAACTGCACTGAGAAAAGAGCATATGGTTATATTAGTTAGTGAGTTCTATGAATAACATTCATGTATGACTCATTTTCACTTAACAAGGAGTTATAATTTCTATATATGCAGATGCATCCTGAACTAGGCTTATTTTGAGCTGTAGATTTCCCCTTTTATAGAATATAATGTCACATGAAACCATGGGGAAAAAAAACCAGAATTGACTTATAATTTCAGTCAACTGATTCTTTAATATATTCCTGATGTTGGATTTCCAGAAACTCGTTAAACTGTCTGGACAGAATATGATTATTGATCACCTGTATTTTGGTGTTGACTTCTTTATTTTAACCAACAAATGTGATTGTCCCTTTTCTCTTGAGTCATTGCAAGAAAGGTACCATTGCAAGTATAAGGGAGGACCTTTTTCAAATGAATTGTTGCTCTTTATTTGAATATAATCAAACTGACAAGTGATTTATTTGAGGTTGTGAAATTTATGAACATCAAAAAACCTTTCCTGCATTACTAACAGACATCCAGGTGGCTGGCTTCTCCCTGTCTCACAGCCCCTTCAGTACGCCTAACCCCTTTCTCCTTTTCTGAGGTGTTTCAGCACCAGCATACCTAATTTGGTTCAAGTACAAAAATGGCTTTTTTTTTTAAAGCTAACCTCGCTAAATGTTTTAGCTAATCATTCATTGACTAATTTTTCTATGATCTTGGCAAAAATTTCAAGTGACAAAATCATACATTCGGGTAATTCTTGTGGTCCCATGTTTCCAGCATAGATGAATAGCAGCGGATTTCTGAAAAGGATAGACCTGGGTTTAAATGCCATCTCTAGCACTTACAAATTAGGTAGCTTCAGGCAAGTGTGATGGTTAATTTTATGCCAACTTAACTGGTTCATGGGGCACCCATATATTTGGTCAAATAGTATTCTGGATGTTTGTGGGAGAGTGTTTTTGGATGAGTTTAACCTTCAAATCAATAGACTGAGTAAAGCAGATGGCCCTCTGTGGTGCGGATGGAACTTACCCGGTAAGTTGAAAGCCTCAGTAGAACAAAAAGGCTGACCTTCCAGTGAGTAAGAAGGAATTCCTCCTGCCTAATTACCTTAGAGCTGGGACACTACTTTTGTTTTTGCTTTTGTTTTTCCTGCTTTCAGACTTGAACAGAAACATTGGTACTTCCTGGATTCCAGCCTGCCAACCTTTGTACCAGAACTATACTATTGGTTCTCTTGGGTTTCCAACTGACTGACTACAGATCTTGGGACTTGTCAGCCTGCATAATCATGTGAGCTAATTCCTTATAATACATCTCTTTCCTTATATATATTCAAAGACCAAACCAAGGTCAAAGGTTAAACTGTTTGGTCAAATAGAGGCAGCAGGAAAGAAGAAGTACTGGGGATGGTTTATAGGGATCGAGAATGTCTAGAAGGGAGCAGAGAGAATCATAGTTCAGATCTGATAGAGTCTGTGACACGGGCACAGTCCTGAAAGATTACAGGTCAGAAGTTTGCAGGTTATCACACAGCCAGGTGTGAGGTGACCTCTCATTGAGGTTTTCATTTGCATTTCCCTGATAGTAAGTGATGTCAGGCACATTTTCATGCACCTGTTGGCCATTTCTAGGTCTTCTTTGGAAAAATGTTTGTGCAGTTTCTCTGCTCAGTTTCTAATTGTAATGTTTATTTTTTGTTATTGAGTTGTATGAGTTCTGAAAATATTTTGGATATCAACCCTTTATGAGATACATGGTTTGCAAATATTTTCTTCCATTTTGTAGGTTGTCTTTTTATCTGTGGATTGTTCCTTTTGCGGTGCAGAATCTTTATAGTTTGATGCAGCCCCACTTGTTGATTTTTGTTTTTATTGCTTGTGCTTTTGGTGTCATATCCAAATATTCATTGCCAAGAACAATGTCAAGGAGCTTTTCTTTGTTCTTTCTGGAAGTTCTGCTTCTTCAGGTATTATGTTTAAGTCTTTAATCTGTTTTGAGTTATTTTTTTGTGAGTGGTTTGCAGCAGAAATCCAATTTAGTTTTTCTGCTTGTGGTTATCCAGGTTTCCCATCACCATTTTTTGAAGGACTACGTTTCCTCAATGAGTATTCTTGGCAACTTCATTAAATATTCGTTAGGAATTGGTCAAAAGGTACTAACTTACGGTTAGAAGATGAATAAATTCTGGAGATCTAAGACACAGCATTATGATTATAGTTAACATCACTGTATTATAGGCTTCAGAGTTACTAAGAGACTAGATTGTAAATGTTCTCACCACATCAAAAAAATTATGTGATATGATAGAGATGTTAACTAAAGCCATGGTGGTAATCACCTTGCAAAATATAAATGTATCAAATCAATACATTGTACACCTTAATTAAACATACCAATGGTATACGTCAGTTATATCTCAATAAAAAAAAAATGTCACAGCCAGAGTATGACCATGGGTGCTCAGGCATCAACTGCTTGTCCTCTTCCTTGGTGGCAGTGCCCGCTTAACAAGGATGGATGTGGTTGACTGTTTTATGTGGGGACCAGTTTTTCCTGGATCACACAGTTAACCAGAGATTTAAAATTTGATCTCAACACTTTCAAATACCAGCTGCTCTGCAGAGCAAGTTTTTCACCACATCCCACATTCCTCTAGAGTATGCTTTCTGAGAAATCTTCAGGAAAGAGGAGACACTTGAGCTAACTTTTGAGAGGCATTCTCATCAAATGGCCCTAACTGGGAGCACAGCAAGTTTAGAGAAGTTAGAGCAGGGGGTGTTTGAGTGTAGGCACAAAGTGGATGTGATAATGGAGAATGAGCTTTGAAAAAAGTACAACTTGAAGTCCCTGAGCCAATAAGTAAAAATGTTACCCTTGGGTTCTGGCGTTATTGAGGAGATCTTTGGAGTATGTGGAGCAGAACTGACATGATGAGATTTGTGTCTGAGCACGTACTGAATGAACTGGAAGATAATTCAGCTGGAAATTAGTAGATCAATTAGGAAATATTTCAATAAATGATAAGAAATGTGAAGATGTCCAAGTTAAGAAATGTCTGTGATGCTGGAGAGCAGAGAATAACTTTGATAGATATTAAGGATGTTCAATGTAGGCAAGAGAAGAAGAGAGAGGAGTCATTAAATGAGATAATTTACACCAGAGGAGGAGTGGCTTCTGCTACCAAGAGATTCTCCAGTTGGCTTGAGACCCTACTTTATCAGGAGAGTTTTGGCAGATAATGTGCACCTTGCTAGAATTTAACCTACTGCAAGGATTTCTAGGAGAAATCCATTCATGGCCTTCCGAATTTGTAGAGTAGAGCTCTTATTTAATAGTAAGAGTGGATTTGCTTTTGAATTGTACTTTTTCTGAATCGCTGTTACATATAGAGAGAGTGTTACTGAACTCTAAGACATATTTGGTTCAAATTCATAGTTGTACAACAGGCACTTTTTTTTTCTGATACTGAAGATGAGGACTTCACTTCGAAATATTACGTTTGTCAAATAAACAGACCATTCCAGCAGATTGTGGCATGCCTATAGGTCCTGGTTCAGTTTATGCTTTCTGTACATACTCTTTAACAGAAAACAGAACCATCTGCCGTGATACAGCCAAGAAAACTAATTATTTTTGTAGGTCTTAAAGTGGATATATATTTAGCTTTGTCTTTGTATGTGTTTATGATTAGATGCTATTGAATATTAAGAAATAAAACCCTGTATGACTTTTCCTAAAATCTAATATAGCATGATACCGAGCTTAATACCCTAACTGCAAACTAACAAGAGACGCTTTTACAATTACTTCAATGTTTATAAGGTTATGACTCATGAACAAATTACTTTCATGGTTGGGTTGCGTTTATACAAGACAGGGTGTGAATTTTAAAAATGGATCAACAAGATGGGGCAGATTTAGGTGTGGACGTGTTTACGTAACATGTTTAAATATGGGCATAGAGAAGCAGAAAAACAAATACCTCTTTTGGCATGTTCAATAGCTAAAGGAGATTTTGTGCACTATTGTATTAATAAACATTTATGGAAATTGAATGAAAACTGGCATCAGGTAGGATCCTGGCAAAGAGCCTTTTAGTCGAGTCAGTTGAAAGCTAGTGACACCTTAAATACTTAAGAAAATATGGAATAATGCCACTTGCAAATCCTTCACTTACAGCAGATGGAATGCAGTCTCATTCTAAATGGCAGACTACTCAACAGTGGCAAATAAAATTAAACCAATAACGGTCGTATGAATCTGTGGGAAAAAAAGGAGGCATGCAAGCCAAGAAATTCAAATGGAATATTATTACCGTGTTTCACATCTAATAATACACCTCACTCACAGGCGATGTTCTAACTCACTCGAGTGATTGCCAGTCATATTGTTTGTCCTGTTCTATGTCGATTTGCTCTTGCAAATACAGCCCAGTAGTTGTTATGCATTTTGCCCATCTCTGAGTCCTGTATCCCTTAGATTTTTAAGAACAGACACTGTGCCTAATGCCAGTCCTTACCTACAGTAGGCTCTCTGTGGGGCTGGCAAGTATGAAGTAACTCTTCCCAGAACAAGAGTCAAAAACCCGAGTCTTCTTCATGGTTCTGAAACCATTCCACGTGTCTCCTAACCAACTCTGCCCACAGGTAAAGCCAGCCTGCTTATAGGCAATCTCTGAGCAAGTTCAGAATTGTGCAGTAAATAGTGCACTGTGCATTACCATTTATGTTACAGCTAAATTGGTTTTATTAAGAGATTAACTATAGGACAAAAGATAACTCCCAGAGGCTTAAGAATTCTCTTTAAAAATGTATCCTTAAGGAGGAACCTAGAAAAAGGAATTATCATCCAACTAACAAGATACTTACAAGGGGGTAGCGGAGTGGAGATTATGTAACAAAGGAGCTGAGACACACTACATAGACATGTTGCCTAGTAAATGCTTCATATATACATGTAATTATTTACATGGGCTACATCAAAGAGATGCTTGCATCATACTCCACTTTTATTTTCTTTCTTGAGATTTTTCTGCTACTAATAATTGGGAGACTACAAAATGTTTGTCACAGGCTCATATCTTGATTCAGGATTTCTGGGATTCCAACTCTAGGTAGATAATCGGCAGCATCTTTTGGGAGCTTTTATAAAGAATATTTTCTTTTTCCCCAGAAATACTTGGCAAAGAACTGTGATTTAGTGCTCTTGCCCTAAGCTTAGTGGCACTCTCTGAGCTCCTTGTCATTCCTGCTCAGTTCCCAGAGACAGTGATGCGTCCCTTCTTCCTTTGGCTTATAGCTGCTTCTCTCAGCATTACTAGAGGGTTGCAAATATCAGGGCTTCCGGGTACAAATCACAAGCTTCTTTGAAGACCAATTTTTTGCAGTGAGGTTTTTCAGAATCCTTGGAGAGGGTATACATTTTCCTGATGACTGCAGAATATTATCCAAATGATCCCTGAAAATATCTCACGGATACTTCACTGCAAAGCTATGCAGACTGGAAGTGCCCAAACTCTGGTACCCAAACTTAGTAGGAATCCTGATAGATTTGTCATATGTCCCTGCCCTGAATCTGTGAGGCATTACGGGCTTTGTCTTCTTTCTCTCTTATATCCGCATGTCCAGCCTGGTTCATTCCACCTGGTTAGCAAACTCTCAAATCTTCTCTTTATCTGAAGTACCTTTACCATAGCCAAGCCACCTTCTCTCATGTGGATGCTGGAAAAAATCTCTTTTATTTCCCCACATATACCACTGATCCCTTTCGATCATTCTTCATACAGTAAATAACTTTATAATAGTACAGATCTTATTATATTTCTTTTCCTAGTTAAAACTCTCCCAATAACTCCTGATTGTTCTTAAGATAAATAACTGACTCATTAATGTCTCTAAGGCCCTATCTGGTCTTAGACTTACCTGCCTTAATAGCCTCCTCTCTTGCAATGCTCTTTCTTGAGCTGTGATCTCTGGTCATCTTCCAATATTTTCCTCCTGTCTGCCTCAGGACCTTTACCCACGCTCTTCCTTCTTTTGGAAATTCTTCTTTTCACTCTCTACTCATCTCTTTATCCAGCTAACTCCTACTAATTCTTCACTTTTTAACTTAAATATCCTTTCTTCAGGGAATCCTTGACTGACTCCAGTTCACACCTTCTGAATAGAAATGATCACTAATTATCTACTTTCAGCACAACGGACTTATTAACCAATCGTCATTGACATTCATTGTTTTGTGCTTTTCTTCTTCTTTAGACTTTAAGCTCCAAGTGAGCATGAACTATATCTTGTTCTTGTTTACAACATTTGCACCATTGTTTTACCTATGCCTGGCTTGTAGCATTGCATCTAGTAGGTGCTTTATAAATATTTATCTATCACTTGCTAAGTGTCTCTGGAAGTGTATGCATAGCCTTTGGCTCAACGAGGTAAACTTGAACAATAACTCAAATACATGTCTGATTTTACCATTAAGACTTTGGAGCACATATATTTTTTCTTGATTTTTAGTTTGGATAAAACTGTTCATGTTAATAACTGTCCCTGGGAAATTATGTCTTTTTCTTTTACTCTCGTATGATGCCTGTACAACATATTACTAAATGCTTAAGAAGACTTTCCATTGCCCTAATTCTTTGTCTGCTTCAGCATCTCTGGAGATTTAGCTACTTCATTTCATTGTAAAGATTCAGGGATATAGAATCAACATGCAGAATCAGTTGCATTCTGTGTACTAACAACAAAAATCTCTGAAAAAGAAAGGAAACAATCCCATTCACACCAGCATCAACACCGATAAAATACTTAGGAATAAATTTAACCAAGGAAGTGAAAGATCTCTACACTGAAAAGTATAAGACTTTGATGAAAGAAGCTGAAGAAGACACAAACAGATGGAAAGATGTCTCATGTTCATAAATAGGAAGAATTAATATTATTAGTATTAGAATGTTCATATTTCCCCATGCTATCTACAGATTCAGTGGAATACTCTTCAAAATTCCAGTGACGTTTTTCACAGAAATAGAACAAACAGTCCTAAAGTTTGTATGGAATCATAAAAGACTTCAAATAGCCAAAGTAATCCTGAGAAAGAAGAACAAAGCTGGAGACATCACATGTCCTGATATCAAACTACTACAAATATTTATTAAGCAAAGTAGTATAATACTGGCATTAAAAACAGACGCATGGACCAATGGAACAGAATTGAGAGCCCAGATATAAACTTTTACACATGAGGTCAACTAATATTTGACAAGGGAACCAAGAATATGCAACAGAGAAAGGCTAGTTTCTTCAATCAATGGTGTGAAAAAAAACTGGATAATCACATGTATAAGAATGAAATAAACTCCTGTCTTACATCACTTACAAAAATTAACTCAAATGAATTATAGACTAAAACATGAGATCGAAACCATAAAATTCCTGGAAGAAAGCATAGAGAAAAAGCCCCTTGATGTTGGTCTTAGGCACAACTTCCTGGATGTAACACCAAAAGCACAAGCAACAAAAGCAGAAATGAATAAGTAACGGGGGTGGGAAGGGGTACATTGGGAGTTCAAAATTTGCAGATACTAACTACTATATGTAAAATAGATAAACAACAAGCTTTTACTGTATAGTACAGGGAACTATATTCAATGTCTTATAGTAATCTATAATGAGAAAGGATATGAAATGAATGTATATACGTGTGACTGAAACATTATGCTGCACACCAGAAATTAACACAACATTGTAAACTGACTATACTTCAATAAAGAGAATGCAAGATTAATAAATAAATAAGTAGGACTACATCAAACTAAAAAATTTCTGCATAGCAAAAAAAGCAATCAACAAAATGAAAAGGCAGCCTATGAAATGGAAGAAAATAATTACAAGTCATATATCTGATAAGGGGTTAATATCTAAAATATATAAGGAACTAATTCAACTCAGTAGCAAAGCACAAAGAGTCTCATTAAAAAATAGACAGAAGGACTAAATAGACATTTTTCCAAAAAGACATCCAAATGGCCAACAGGTACATGAAAAAATGCTCAAAATCACTAATTACCATGGAAATGCAAATGAAAACCACAATGAGACATCATTGCACACCTGTTAGAATGGCTGTCATCAAAAATATAAGAGATACCAAGTGTTGGTGAGAAGGTGGAAAAAGAGAGCCCTTGTTCAGCTTTGGTGGGAATATACATTGGTAGCCGTTACGGAAAACGGCAGGGAGGGTTTTCAGAAAAGGTAAAAATAGAATTATCATATGATTCAGCAATCTTACTTCTGGATGTATATTCAAAGGGAACGATATCAGAAATTGAAGAGATAACTGTACTCCATGTTCACTATAATACTGTTCACAATAGCCAACATACGGAAATAACCTAAGTATCCATCTAGAGATGAATGGATAAATTGGGAGTGATCTATACACACAATGGAATATTATTCAACTACAAGAAAAAGGAAATCCTATTATTGGTGACAACATGGATGGCCTTTGAGGGCAAAATGAAATAAATAAGGCAGAAGAGAACAAGTACTGTACACTATCACTTATTTGTGGAATCTAAAAAAAAAAAAACTCATAAAAACAGAGAATAGATGAGTGATTGCCAGTGGCTGTGGGTGGGGCAAGTTGGGGGGTGTTAGTCAAAGGGTATAAACTTCCAGTTATAAGATGAATACATTCTGGGGACCTGTTGTTCACTATGGTAAAAATACTTCACAGTCCTGTATTGTGTACTTTAAAATTGCCAAGAGAATAGATCTTAAATATTTTCACCACAAAAAAAAGAAACAGTAGTTATGTGAGCTGATGGAAGTGTTAACTAACCCTACTGTGGTGATCATTTCACAATATACAAGTGGATCAAGCCAACACATTGTAGACCTCAAAAACGAGGTTATATATCAATTATATCTCTACAAACCTAGAAGGAAAATGACAGCTAAATGAAAGAAAAGTGGAGAAATACAGCTAGTTTGAAATTTTGGTGTCAACTTGCAACTGATATTTCTGAGGCCTTTCATGTTTTTCTTTACCACTCTAACTTGGTGTTTCTTTTTAGGAAGAGAAAAAGAAAAAGAGGTGGCTTGTTGTTTTTGCTGTTTTAGTCTTAATTTTCTTAAGAAATGTGAGAGGGTGGGAAGGCGAAGTTAAACTACGTTGGGGACGTATCAGCACATGGGTGGATCTACCTCCTCGCTTGCACGTTTCTGAAGCAATTCAAGTATGAATACAGGAAGAGAATCAGGAAACAGAACACGCTGACATTCCCTCTTCTATTAACCGTATGGTTAAATATGTACTTTTAGTGGAATTCACTAACTCTACACAGTTTAGTCTACCCTCAGCGGGCAATTAGCCATGTTATAAGCAGTGAACCTGAGACGGAGACCAAACGATCATCGGTTTGTTAGTACAGGACTAACGTTTGCCTGTTTCTAGTACACAGGACTTAAGTTTATCTAAAATTATAGACAAGCCTTTCCTATCAACCAAATAACCCTCTGTGGGGTTTACAAACAATTGCAATTTGGAGTCCCATTTAACTTGTTCATGAAGACAAACAGGAAGGGAAAGAAGTGAAATTCTTAAGACTCTGCAATGTAAACAGTTGACCAATGAAGGGACACAGGGCATTCTAGCCAGGATCTCCCTGGCCCTCATACTCTTTCACTCTGTTATTTTCCTAGAATTAAACCAGAGTGAAATTAATCCAGTTAGCAGGAATTTATCTTGTTTCAAGATTATTTAAAACAAGGATGGAAAACTATACAAAATGTTTTCCTCGTGGAAAGGCATTAAACTGAAAATATCCAAGTCTCAGCCCCACTTCAACTATTGGTAAGAACCTTTGATGGAGGGGTTCGTGGTGGAGAATTTCAACTGAAAATAGTGAGACCTATTCATTGCAGCTACAGTGCACCTGGATGAACTTCTCAAGTAACTCCTTCTAACTTAGACTCTCTAAAAGCTAATAGCTAAGGTATAGGGTAAGCTACTATAAAAACAAAACCTCCAACTACAATGGATTCGTAAATGTAGGAATTTATTTCTCACTCACATCATAATGCAAAGGTAGGGGAGCATTTAGAGCAAGAAATTGGCCCTTTAAGTCTCATCCATAGCTACACCTTGTGGGTTCAAGGTGGCTATTATAATTTTCATTGTCTTCAGCTAGCAGAAGGGATGAAGGGACCTTATGACAGCTGTTTTACAGGAAATATTTGGGAACTTAATATACATTATACCCTTATCCTTTGCTGAAAGATCACCCCTAGCTTTCAGGGATATTGCAAAATATGTTCTTTGGGCGAGCAGCCATGTGCTCAGCTTCAAGATTGGGGAAGGTGAGAAGAATGGCCCAGAGGTCATTCAGTTTTCTGCCGTAGTGCCTCATAAAGTCACTGTGAAGTTTAAATAAGTTCATATATATATATAAAAATGCTAAATTATCTGCAAATGAGTTAACACTCAGAAAATAGAGCGGCAAATTATGCACAGATTCCCAGTTACATGTCATTTCATTTCCAAAAGCATTTGCTTTATTCCTTTGAGAGGACAACAGAAGTTTTCTCTAGAGAAATCATAAACACAATGTAGCCCTATATCTAATCCAGGATTACATTTGAAAAAAATCCCCATAGGCAGGTCATGAGAGTTTTTAATTTAAAAAAAACATTTGTGTTTGTGAAGCAATATTTTTTTTAAAAATTTGTCATAAAGTTCTGATTTTAATGATTTTAGTGGCCTTAAATTTTCTTTTTAGGCAATGGCAGTGTAAGAGTGGAGAAGGTTGTTAGAGAGCCTCCTCACTGTGGCTTGATGTGATAAATAATTTGCTCATAGCATGCGTGCCCGCTTATTTCACCTCCAGCTTACTTTTGGGGCGACTTTGTTATCAGCAGTAATATATCCTGATCATTTTAAGTCTGTAAGGAAATGGATGATAGTCTCTTTTCAAAAAAGATTGAATGGCCCTTCTTAGACGGTTCTAAGTACTGCAGCAGCTTCTTAAAATTCTTCTGTCATAATTATCTATATAAATGTGAATCTTTTGTATCCATTCCTTCACTTTTTATTCTCATTTGTTTTACAAGTGCTTGGCATATTGTTTTCAAAGAAGGCTACAGTTCCTCCCACCCCACTAGCCCCTTAGTGATGTAACTTTATCACTCTTACTATCAAGAGATGAAATCTCTTTCCCTTCCTCTTGAACTGTGCCGCCGGTCCTGTGACCAGCTATGACCAATGGCGTGCAACAGATGTGACACTGTGTGATTTCTGGCTCTAAGTCTTAAGAAGTCTTGAAGTTTCCATTTTCACCCTTGGAAGGATGTTCAGCCTAGACTACCAACTGATAAAAGCAGACTAAAACTACCAAGTGCAGACAAAGGTCATCTGGAGGACAACTTCCAGCATGAGCACCCAAAGTATGTGAGTGTGCCATCTTGGATTCTTCAGCCTCAGTCAGGTCCCCCCAGCCAACACTGTACAGAGCAAGGGCCAAGATTTCTCCTGTGAGTCTTGCTCAAATTCCTGACCCACAGAGTGGTGAGCAGTACAATGGCTGCTGATTTCAGCCACTGAGTTTCAGAGCAGATTGTTACACAGCAAAAGATTACTGAAATTGTCTTTTCTTCTTCTTGACATTACACTGTTTTCCAGAACAGGAACCATGTTCAGTGAGTTTCTTGATGTCTCTTCACAAGGCAATGTATTGGCTGCACAATAGCTATAACTGAGTGAATTAATTCCACATCATATGTCTGGAGAAACTTTCTCAAGATTCAGGTGATAAAGTTCAGTGACTGTTAGTGTGTTTTGGAAAAGCATCTTTGTTATAATTTGATATTTTAATGCATGACCTTACATAAGTCAGTGGATTGCTTGAGGCCTGGGTGCTATTAATCAAGGTCTCTGAGCACCATCACCTTGAAATTTCGTGAAACCACAATCCTGTGAACAGCCCCAGCTAGAGCCACTAATAAAATAGAGAATAAAAATAGGTAGATATACAGCAATGGATGGAAGGTTGTAAATTTACCCATGCTGAGTTTCAAGGCAGTTGAATTTATTTGTTCTGAATTGTGTATCTTGGCTTTCTATTTTAGAGTAAAATAAATAATATCAAATAAAGCAAAGCTGAATAGTACAGGAGTGACAGTGTGTCTCCCACACAACTCCATATTTTCTGTAACTAAGAAAAATACCACAAGTTGAGGAAACAACTCTTAAATGACAAAGCAAAATGTGACACCAATATATGATACAAAATCCATGGTCTTTTATCATAAAGACGAAATAAAAGCTAGCCTCTGAGTCAAATATAACATTTCAAAGCAGACATGTGCATCATTAAGGGTTTTACTGTTTTGATTCCTCCTTTCTTCCCTCCCTCCCTCCCCTCCTTTCACTCCTTCCTTCCTTCCTTCCTTCCTTCCTTCCTTCCTTCTAGTGGATGAGCTAATCATGTATAAAAGAAAAGAATTCAAAGTATCAAAATAGAGTTTTGGTCATGTTTCTCGAAGTAACTAAATTCAACACTTTGGTTGGAAATGACCTATTTTATGGTTACTTCTGACAGTTACACATGGGAAGTTGTGTCTGTTTATCCGTTTTTATTTCTTTCATTTGCATCAAAATAACAGCAACTTGTACTGAATTACTGCAAGGACTGTCTCTCCTTCTTTCAAAAGAAAGTCATTTATTAGGTTGCCTTACCTTCACCAACAGACATGTTCTCAGCTTCATGATGGCCGGCAGCCAGAGAAGCAATTTCCTTTCTTTTAAAAGGGGTTGGAAAGCATCTGATTATATCGGGAAGAGGCATTTCAGTTTTCAAGGTGAAAGATCACTTGCTTCTTTATAGATAATGGAAGAAAGAAGATACACCAGTGAAAGGCAGAGGGCATACCAATTAAAACTCTCCAGGAAGAGCAGGACACAGTCTGTCCGCATGTTATCTCAATGTAAATTAGCAGGCAGGGTAACAATATTAGTTTTCTCCTTTACAACTTAAATAATTCAACTATTAAGACAGGTTTTTATTGGACGTATTTTCTATACCAGAGCAACTGATAGTACAATATTTATCACTTAAAAGGTCTTAAATATTGTTTCTCTGCCTTAGACTATAAATGCTCAGAATAGGAGTTACTATACAGGGAAAAAATTTTTTCTATTTAGCTTATTTTATCCTGGCCTTTAGAATTTTGTTTCAAAGAAAGAATACATGGAGATTCCTTGGACAGGCAGGAAAAAAAATAATAGCTATTGAAATTATCTTGAATTGTTGTGAATCTAAGATAAACCTGATGCAGGAAAACTGATGTGGGGCGTGAGGAGGGCCATGTCCCGGGTCTCAGTTGAGCCCTTGGGCTGTGCAGGGAAAGAATTCACATGCGAGCCACAGTTGAGTAGAGGTAGATTTATTTAGAGAAACACACACTGCATAGAGTGTAAGGCAAGAGAAAGGCAAGGGAAGAGGTGTGGGAATTGGGTGCTCAGGTTAAAGTAAAAGTGGGTACACACTCCATAGACAGAGTGCGGGCCGTCTCCGAAGAGGAGGGAGTGAAAAAAGGGCCGCTAGGTGTGGCGTTGCCAGTTTTTATGGGCTCAGTAGCTTCACACGCCTACAGGTGGGACCATTCCAACTGCCCTGGGGAAGGGGCTGGGATTCCCAGGGATTGGGCCACCGCCCACTCTTTGGCTTTTTGCGGTCAGCCTTGGGGCTGTCATGGCGCCTGTGGGCATGTTATTGATCACGCTGTTACAATGAGCATATAATGAAGCTCAAGGTCTAGTAGAAGTCAAACCTCCCGCCAGCTTAATCCTCAAGGCCAGCTGGGCGTGGAATCTTCCACCATTTCGTTGTTGAATTGCTGTCATTCCTTGAGTGGCTGTGCCCTGCCCCCTTCCATTCTGTCTCAAAACAACATAAATGAAAAATGCCCAGGCTACACAGGCTATTCGCTTCATGTTTGTTGTCTGTCCTTTTCCATATATTCTCCACGCCAGCACTGTCCAATAAAAATATAATGTGAACCATAAATATGAGACACCTGTGTAATTTTATTTTTATTTTTTCCCCATACTCCCAATTTATCAGTGTAATTTTGAAGTTTCTAGTAGGCACATTGAAAAAACAAACTGGCAAGTTAGTTTTCATAATGTATTTTGTTTAATCCAATATATCCAAATAATCTCATCTCAGGACGTAATGAGTATATATTATTAATGAGATATTTTATATATTTTTTATACTGGGTCTGTAAAGCCTGTTAGGTACAGATTTTACATAAAGCATATCTCTGTTTAAACTAGTCAGCTTTCAAGCCCTTCATAACTGCATGTGTCTAGTGGCTACCATACTAATCACGCAACCTGGTTTTTTTTATCCAGTCTTCTACATTTCTCCTCCTGATGTTGGTTTTGTCTACTGAAATAGATGTGCAGCCTAAAAGTTGAGAGTTGAGTTTTATTTGGCAGGCGTACTTGAGCTGGGATGACAGCCTCTCAGATCCCTCTGAGGGACTGCTCTGAAGAGGTAGGGGAGGAGCTAGGATATATAGGAGCTTTACAACAAAGACCGGGTAGTTGAAACAATAAAAGATGACTTGTTATCTAAAGAAAACCAGGCATCTCAAGTTAAAGAATTTAGTGCTTTTCTATGCATGGGAGGAAGCAAGCATTTGGGCTCATTGAATTCATTCCTTTGACAAGCATCTAGCTATTTAGGGCCAGTATCCTGTCCTTTCACGTTCTGAATCCCCTCAGGGTGCACCATTGGGAGTGGCTGCAGAGGCCGGGCTACAGGCTTGTCTTCACTGGGGGGTGGCTGCAGCGGCTGATGACTTGATGGTTTCAGTATTCTTTGTTCACTGATATGGTTTGCAGTATTTTTCATTCAGTTTCTAGAACCATGTCTTCCACTTTTTGGTTTTTCTGGTAATTTTTTCTGTGTCTACTTTAGGGGAGGCACATGAGGTGCCTTCCCTTGCCTGTGGAAGTTTTCAGGAGCTATTTTTATCAATCTTTCTTACCTATTTATGTGCTGGTTATCCAGCGCTTACTTAGGAATTCAGCCGCTCTCCGTAATTCACACATTTGCTCCACTTATTGCTAATGTCCATCCCAATTTATTTCTTTTAGGAAGCTATTTGACATTTTGTAAATCAAAGTGTTTGATCTTTGGTTTTAAAATTTGTAAAACAAGGGGGTGTGAACTAGGTGGTTTCAGAGGTTTTCTGTCTATTACTATTCCATGACTCTAGGGTTCTTTATATTAACAAGTCAGACTCAACATTGTGCAAATGGCTGCCTTACTCAATGTCCAGTTCCCCCACGACAGTGTGTTATTTCTATCTGCACTGAATATTCTGAGCAAGGACTCTTTTAACCTAATGTATCCCACCAATTCTTCCTTCATCATGTATCACCTGCATCTAGACCCCAGTCATCTCTCCGGAATTTTTGCATGTGTTACTCCACTCCTCACATTGTCTCTCTCTAGCGCTTGTTTCAGGTCGTTGGATTAATCATCATCTCTAACTTTGACTTAGACTTTGACTATTTTTGGAGATAGAAAAACCAGAGAGGCCCTAAATGTGTATATGGAGAGGAATGTGAACTAGAAATTGGGGAATTAAAGTCCCAAGTTCAAGACTGAAATTTGAAATTAGTGTGGAGGTAAGCAGTAAGTGTTGGCCTGATCCAGATGACCTTATAGAAGCAAAGCTATTGAGGGAGGATTAATAAAATGGCTGCACTCAGGCTAACAGATTGCTTATTCCTACGCTTGCCCTTAAAACTGTCAACTGACCTGATTGACCGGTTGCTACTCACAGTTGCAGGCTCATTGTTAAAACTGAAGCTATTGATCTTACTGTTTCTACTTTATTCCATTAATTAAGAGTAATAATCATGCTTGGTCTCTGAGTTCTTTTCCAAGGAGAAGGTCACAGGACTATAACTACAAAATAGCCTGAATTACCAAGAAGACCACACCTTGAGTGCTTATGAGATAAAGAGATCTAACCGCTAGCCTCTGTAGAACTGGTCGCCTGGAGGCATCATGATGCCATTCTGTCTTCTGATGAGAAAATGATTCTGTTCTTATCAATGCTTTATTGTTTGAGCTCTGGCTATATAACCACCCCACCCCATCCCCAAGGGGGATTCACAGTTTTGAAGGCACTAGCCTGTTGTGAGTCCCCTTTGCCCGGCAAAGCAATAAAATTGCCTCTTTTCTTCCAAGCTCTAAGACCTTGTCTCTGGGTTATTTGGCTTGTCAGGGACGGGGGCCGATCTTTCGGCAACACTATTACAGGAATATATGAATTAGGCACTTGATGTATTTTTTTTCTGGCCAAATAAATGTTGTACCTCTAAGGTACAAATTAAGAAACTCTATGATAATAAACTGGTTTAAAGTTTGAATGCTATAAAGTTTGAATTTTGAAATCTGTTATATAAGGCTACTCTATGAAATTTATATAACCATCTGTGATCATGGAATGTATTCAAAATGTGCCATACAGTGACATCTCAACTGCAGCACAGCCAGGCTCCATGAAAAATTTGAACATCATGTACCCTGATTAATACACAGTATATAGCAGCCCTTTCAGGGTCAACAATATTACTTGTCATCCAGCAGCATACCATCATCTTATTAATTAGAATGTCCTTCCTCTTCTAGCCACTCCGTGCCACTTGTGATTCAATGCTTTCTGCTGCTTCTGTTGTCCACTACTTTAACTATGTCTACTTCTGCTGCTCCTGTTTTATATTTAACATCCAGAGATAATCAAATTATATATTCCATATCCAAT